CAGATGAACTGTGTGATTCCTTGAGGTATCTGTCTTTGGGTGCTTTGAAGATTTCCTACTCATTGTTAATCTCTGAAGTTTCACTATCATTCTGTTCGCTATAGTAGTAATCCCCTCTTATCCATGGTTTTATTTTTCACTGTTTTGTGGTCCAAAAATATTCAATGAAAAATTCTAGAAATAAACAATTCATAAGTTCCAAGCTATCCACCATTCTGAGTAGCATGATGTAAGTGCTGGCCTGCCTGGGATTCAAAACATCCCCTTTTCCAAGGTATCTACACTGTATATGCTACCTGCCTAATAGTCACTTAGTAGTTGTCTTGCTTATTAGATCGGCTGTGCTGTTATTGTAGTGCTTGTATACAATTAACACTTATCTTACTAAATAGTGGCCCCAAAGCAGAAGAGTAGTGATGCTGGTGATTCAGATATGCCAAAGGGAAGCCATAAAGTACTTCTTTCAAGTGAAAGTGTTCTCAATTAACGAAAAAATTGTATGCTGAGTTTGCTAAGATCTATTGTATATCATTATAATTGCTCTGTTTTATTGCTAGTTTTTATTCTCTTACTGTGCCAGATTTAGAAATTAAACTCTGTAATAGGTATGTATGTATGTACAGGAAAAGCACAATATATATAGGACTTTGTTTCCTGCATCTGCTGGGGTTCATAGAACTGTCCCCTAAAGGGAGACTGTGGTATTTATATGCATAGGTTTGTCTCTCTTCCTCCCTTCCTCTCTCCTTCCTTGTCTTCCTTCTTTCCTTTTTTTCCTCTTTAATGGGGATTAAATCCGTGGCCTTGCACATTCTAGCCCTGTAGCTGAGCTACCTCCTTAGCCCCTCTGTTTTTTTATTTTGAGACAACATCATGCTAAGTCCCAGGCTCGCCTCAAACTTGCGATCCTCTTGCCTTAGCTTCCAGGTAGCTGGGATTACAGGTGGGCACTACTGCACCTGGCTTTGCAATGCCTCTGTATTTAAGGACTTCTGCTTTTGATTTTTGGACATCCTTAGCCATTTTCTCTTCAAATGCAGTTTCCCTGTCATTTCTTTTTTTCTTCTTTTTGGAGTAGTTATTAGACAAAAGTTGATACCTTTCAACCAACCTTTGCTTTATCCGATTTGCATTTTAATTTCTTTTTATTCCTTGGTCTCTACTGCCTTCTGGATAAAATTCTTCAATATTATCTTTCAATTCAGGAATCCTGTTTGATTCCTTTATCTTTAGAATTCACCCAGTGTTTTAGTTTTTACATTTTAATGACTTTGCTTGTCAATGCTGAGTTTCCTTATTGGTTCTTTTTCTGCTCTACTTGATTTTTTTCATGATTTCCTGTTCTTTTAGAATGTGTGTTACCCTTTGATTTATCTCTTTGAACACCCTAAAATAACCTTGTAAATGTCCAGCTCACATTTGTAGCTGGCTGTGTGCAGACAGATATTGTTTATCCACCATGACCAACCAGAGAAAACCATGGAGGACCATCCAGTGTGGCCCACCTCTCATTATGCTCGGGAGGCATGGGCTAGAGAGTGTCACTAGAGAGTGACATTAGTGATCACTGAAATGTCGGAGGCATGGGGTTCATTTGAGGGTTCTTATTAAGCGAGACATTCAGACTTCAAGAACTTGGCTTTGCTGAGTTCGATCAGAAAGACAGAAGAATCTGTTTTCTCTTTGGGCAGAGGTTTGTTTATCCTGAATTCAGAGCCAACAGCTCTATTAGTTTTGAACTGACAAATATTTTTCCACATTTGGGCAGAGCCCCTTATGCGCCAGGGGAAAGGTACAATAACATATTGTTAGGGCTCTCTCCGGACAGGGGGCTGTACATTATTCATTTCTCATCCCTCTACCCTCTACCACACTGCTCAATAAAAGTTTATGGACTTGCATTGTAAAGTGGACGGTTAATATGAGTCATGTTATAAATAGTTTATATACCATAACCCTGTATTCAGATGACTGTTGCAACTGCTATGAAGCCTGTGTCCTCATTGAGCATGAGGCTGGTGCTCCAAAGGATGCAGGACCCCTGTTGAAATTGCTCCAGGGCTATTACATAAACCACAGTAATTGTCCCACGTCAACCCAGTGGCTACACTGCACATATGCATTGCATGCCTCTGTACTCATGCATGCACACATGAAAGTATACAAAGCATAAAAATGCAACGTTACAACGTAGTATATATGGAGAGATTATATGTTTATTTTGTAAAAGAAAATATTGCAAGGACCATTAACACATGAAACCAACCTCACTGTAACATTTGCTACTCTCTTCCTTTGCCTAAATCTCAATTTAATAAAATGGCATTTGGCTTCCACTGAGCTTTCAAAATCTGTCAGTATTTGATAGGTCAACAGTCATAATTGCATGTTGACTTTGCAATATACTATTTTAACGATGTGTTAATACATAGAAATCCTTGGACGGGACTTCCAGAATTGCTGTTTTATAACTATCAAATGATATGTTAAAACGAACCTCAGAGGTGAGAAAGCCAATTGCTGGGGATACGGCATTGGCCAAAGGACTGTTGGATGTGTAATTGGCACACACAGCAATGAGCTGTAAGTGAGCGCTCCGAGACCTCTAAAACGTCTCAAGAACAGCCAGTTTGCAAGGTCTTGGGTGAGCAGATGGACAGTGGCTTTGTAAAGGGCGCTTAGCAGTGTGAAGGTGGCGGAACACACAGCAGGCAGCTCTCCACCCCCTGGAGGCCGATGAGTGGGCCTCAGGGGAAGCCTCTGTGTCTACAGTGGGGCCAAAGTCAGGAATGGGTACTCATCTTAAACTGCAGAGCAAAGTGGGTGGGAGAGGTGGATATGGGGAGAGGGAAAGAGAATAAATAAGGATCCAATAAATAAGAACAGATAAGGAGACAAAGTGAGATAGCAAGAACAAAAGTGTGAGAGAGAGACTTTGGGCAGAGAAAGGGAAAAACGAGAGTAAAGAGTTTTTGGAAGGCGACTCAGCGATACCATCCTTTCCCTGAGCCGCATCTGAGCCAGATTCTACGTCTGTTTGCGCAGCTCGAGTGCCTCCCACAGGAAGCTGGGCTGTTTATCTACAAAGTGTCAGAAACTGGCGGTGCCGAGGCAGCCCTGCTGTGGGCTGGTACTCTCCCTGCTGGTTTGCTTTCCTCGCTGGCTCTGATTCCCTGGGTTCTTTACCTTTTCCCTCCAGTGGGATGAATCCCCCCACCCCAGTCCTGTGCATCTAGTCTGTTCCAAGGGAAATCTCAGTTTTCTCCTGAGAAATTCTAGAAGGAAAACCCTCTAACTTCTTGGTCATGTTTGAATGGCAGCCCTTGAAATGTTGACGCTGCTCAGGCTCTGAAAGGGGCTATTTTTCTGAGGAGGGCTTCAAAGCCAGGAGGAGGATGAGTTCACAGTGCATGGGGAAGGAATGTTAGCTTTCTGTGACAATACCTGAGGAACACTAACTTAGAAGGAGGAAGGACTTATTTTGGCTCACAGTTTGAGGTCTCAGTCTCTGGCTGCTTGACACCATCGCTTTGGGCCTGTATGTGAAGCAGAACATCATGGCGGAGCGAAGTGGCTCACCTCATGGTGTCCAGGAGCAAAGAGAGAGTAAGGGCCTGGGTCCCACTGTCCCTTCAAGGCCACAGCCCCAGTGATGTAACTGCTTTCCATTAGGGCCTCATCTCCTAAAGTTCCACACATGGGCCTTGGGGGGACATTTCAGGTAACAATGTTCAAGGAAATTCTATAGTGAGCTCCTACATCGTAACAGGTGCCAGCCAGGCCTGGAGGATTCTCCTAACAATACCGTGAGCCACGCACCTAGAACTTTTATCCTAAAAGTACCCGAGGTTGGTACCACAGCAAGCTTTGCAAAGATCCTGGCTGAGTTGTGGATATTCTCTGTCTCCTGAGTCCCATCCTCACTCTCTTGTTCCACAGATAGAATGACAAGGAGAGAAAACAGCTTCTCCATGATCATGGCAACACCTGGAAACACCTATCTGTGTTGGCAAAGGGTGGCTGATGGGGGAGAATTTGAAAAATGGCATACATCTTTTTTTCATTGGCTTAAAGCTGGTTGTCCAAATATTTGTATCATTTGAGGTACAAGCAAAAAAAATCATCAAATTTAGAGTGGATTTTTATTATCCAGTACAAACATCTTCTGGTACAGTCCTTAATTCATCTGACAATAATGTAAGTAATAGAAATTGGAACTAGAAGGGGGCAAGTGTGTTTATTTAGTGTACACATACGCTGCACACCTAGGATCCAGGGACACCTATGAGGGACACAGCACAGTTTCTGCCCTGGTGCAACTTAACTTTTCAGATGGGAAAGCACATAATGCACATGTAAAAAAAAATTTATCAAATGAATTCTAGGTTATGGCAAGTACTGAGGAAGGATAAACATGGCAGCCACACTTGGGAAGACACTTTGGTTGGCATGCCTAGGGAACATATGTCTGAGAAATAACACTTGGCCTATGTCATTTATGGCACATGGCACATAAATCAGCCATGGGAAGAATTGTATGGTGAGAGGGGACATTGTGAACTGAGGGAAGGATACCTGTAAAGGAGCAGAAGTGGGCGAGAGCAGAGGGATCACAGGACAGAAGAGCCCGTGGCAGGCGCCACATCTATGGGAAAGATGGGGCAGGACCACAGGTCTTGAGAAGACCACAGTGCCTGAAGCTATCAGAGGTTCTTAAGCAGGAGAATGGTCATGTTATGTCTTGTGTTTTTATTATGACTTCTGTTTTCCAAATAGTACCTTGTCTAGGGTGGGGAGACTATATTAGCGGGAGCCAGAAAGGAAGGAGGGAGAAACTCAGGAAATGCTATGGCTCTAATGTTTGTGACTCCTCGGAAGTCATGTACTGAAGCTGAATCCTCAGTGTAGTAGTTTTGAGAGGTGGGACATCTGGGAGGAGATTGGGTTGTGAAGTTGGGGCCTCCTCAATGCAATCAGTACCTTTTTTGTTTTTTTTAAAGAGGCCTGAGAGAGGTGAAAATGAAGGAAAAAGGCACCATCTGTGAAGCAGAGCAGCCATTACCAGACACCCAATCTGTTGGTATCTTGACTTGGACTTCCCAGCCTCCAGAACTGCGATGAGTATATTTCCGTTGTTTATAAATCACCTAATCTAAAGTTTTTGGTTATAGAAGCCCCTAACCACCTAAGACAGCCACAGCAGGGCTGCAGTGAGCAGTCTGGGACTTGGCACACAGTAGTGGCAGAGAGATTAGGGAGAAGTTGACAAATTGGGGACAATGTTTCGATGCAGGACCAGTGGTACTTGTGGCGGACTGGATTAGGGACAGAAAGGGAAACTGAGGAACAAGGATGAATTTGAGATTTTGACAGCAGACACTAGCTGCTTAGTGGTACCATTTGCTGATTTGAGGAAACCTCTGGGGTGAATGAGGAAGTTGGGATTTAATTTTGTGAAAAACCTGAGTCTGAGGCACGTCGTGGATGCTGTGGTATGCTACCCCGATGCCCCTTCAGCACTATGTGCCCGTTCTCCTGTTGCCAGGAGTGGTGGCTTCCCACAGCAGGTCTGTCTCCGAGCACTGCCCTCAAGGAGTAGCCTTTTGAGGCCACACCCCTGCCTGTGATGTACAAAGCCTTGCTTCCTTGTTCCTATTTGGGGCAGCTCTGAAGGACCGTCCAGGTACACAGCTCCCTGTGGTCCTGGCTGACCCTTTGTTGTGCCTGCATCAGAGTTGCCCAGCCTCCATGGCCAGTGGTCTTCTCTAACTCCATCCTGGTGTTCTCGAGGGCACCTCCCGATGAACCTCTTGTCCACAAATCTCCAGCTCAGAGACTGGCTTCTGAGGACCCACACTAAGGCAGCTGGTTCCAGGAGTGGTTCTAGAACACAGACCCTAAAATAAGATGTTGGAATAGCAATGACCCACCAGCTGGATACAAGAACCCAGCTCAGGGGGCAGGACACTGTCATTTGTATGAGCAATGGCGAAGCCTTCACTGATGGTGCATTTGGAAGATGTGGAGAAATCGCTATGACAAAGTAATGAAATTAAATGGCTGTTGCCAAAAGTTAGTGATGCAATGGAGAAAGATAATAAAAATGCAGCGGCTGATTAATCACATATTAAAGGTGAAATGTGAAAGTTAGAAAGCCACACTTTTATAACTAGAGCTCAGAGAAAACTAAGGATCAAGCAAGACTTTAATGGAAAGACTCAGGAAGCTGCAGAGAAGGTTGGATTGTCAGCCCCAGCAGACTGATTAACTCCTGGGCAGGATCCTGATTAGGAAAGCAGGGGACTTTGAAATTGGAATGGGATTATTTAGATCAATTCCCTAAAAACGATGAAGGCTCATATTCTCTGGAATCTTCCCAGCCTGCAGCGGTGGCTCTCTCCTATTAATGCTATCACTGCTTCCTTGTTTGAAGATGATGCTAGGGCATCCACTTGTACAGTAACACCAGGCCCTCAGAATTAAGAGTCTCCTCTACTTCCCGCTTGGCTACCAGATAGACAACTAAGTCACGGCATAACCCAGCTGGGGAAGAGAAGGCACTAGATACCAAAGGCACAGCAAGGCCTGGCAAAAAAGTATCTGTGGACACTGGCAGAGTGTGTGTATGTGTGTGTGTGTGAGACTGGATCTGGGGGTGTCAGCAACAACATGGACTAAAGGGGCCAGGGAAAGTGGCGGGAGGAGTGCTGTCCATGGACTGAACCCCCTGGCAATGACCTGGGGAGGCAGATGGCACATGGGATCTTGGGGAAAGTGACACCACACCAAGGAAAGTTGAAGTGCTATGATGGGTGGAGGGAACAGGGTTCAAAGGGCTCAGAGGATGGAAGGTGTTAATAACTGCAACAGGGCAGTGTAAGTATCAGATGAGTGTCAAGGTCAGGATAACAGAACGGAGGTCCTGACCTGTCCACAGGTTTGGGAATCATTGGAACCATCTTGTAGGGCAGGATGGATGGACAGCCAAAAGGATATGACTCAATTTCTTCAGCAAAAAACGATGGATGGTCACAAGAGCAACCATAACGTCAATTACAATGCCTCACTCAGTTTTCATTCTGGGCTAGTTTTCATGCCAGAAGCCATGCACTAAAGGAGAGGCTGGGTCCTAGGAGGGGAAAGTAGCAAACAATCCATACCCACCTTTCCCCAAAGGGACCTTCAGTCATTTCCTTCATGAACAGAAATGTACACAGACATTTAGAGCAGCTGTGTCCAGCCTTTTTGGCAGCAGAGACTAGTTTCATGGGAGACAGTTTTTCCACAGACGTGGTGAGGATGTTTTCGGGATTAGATTCTCATAAAAAGGGCACAACCTGAGTCCCTCACATGTGCAGTTCACAGTAGGGTTAGTGCTTCCTTGAGAATCTGATGTTCTCCTTGGTCTAACCGGAGGTGCCCAGGCAGTAATGTGAGTAATGGACAGCAGCTGTAAATACAGATGAAACTTTGCTCATGCATGTGCTACTCAGATTCTGCTGTATGGCCAGCCTCTTAACAGGCCACAGGCCAATACTTATCCTTGGCTTGAGGAATGGGGACAGTTGATTTAGGGGACTGCTGAACCCAAGATCCAAATTCACACTGTATTCTGGACCCAGTGCATGGGTCTTTTAACATGAAGGGGATATAGTTCAGATAATAATTGGGTCCTGGTTCAGATTTGGTTCAGTGTAGGTTCAGTGGGTCCAGAAAACTACCAGTGTTCATTTCCCCTGTCTCTGAACGTATAGTGAGAATGGATGAACTCAGTCCTTGGCCTGTGGAGTCAAGAGCTGTTGTGGTAGGGAAGGCCAAGTGGAAGCCTCTGAAACTGCCTCCCTCTCTCCAGGCAAGAGAACAAATCAGCAGTGATATTGCAATCCAGCAAAAATCAGCACATTTTATTTATTTACTCCCCCCATGGTCCTGGAGATTGAACCTAGGACCTCTCGCATGCTAAACACATGCTCTGCCACTGAGCTAAGTACCTCCAGCCCCAAGAATGCCGTATTTTCATGTCATGTCTAGAGATCTAAAGAATGCAGCAGTGCATAAAGTCCCCGTCACATTGTCATGTAACCCAGCAACTTGTCTTCAAAATATAGAATGCTTGTTGCCTGGTAGCAGATCATCACAATTTTAACTAAGAACCCCAAATGAAGTGCTGTGCCAGATGTAGGATTATTGTGAGGGTAAATCGACATGGTTCCAACCCAAGGAGTATGGGCATTGCCTAGAAGATGCATTCTTTCCTATCCCAATGAAGACAGAGCAAAGCAGTTCACATCTAGCACAGACAACAGTGTCATTCACATCTTCCCCAGGGCTGATGTTGACTGTCCTGCTCTCTTAGGAAATAGCGCGCTATACAGTCCCTCCATAGATTGACCTCATTCGTTGCATCATGCTGTGTTGTTAGGCCAGAAAAGCGAAAAGTGGTGAGTGACTTGGAGGATGTAGTACAGACTCGTGCCCTCTACAGGGTGAGAGATAAGCCCTATGAAGAGTCAAAGACCCATTGGACCAGTGAAGTTTTTAGGAGTGCGGTGGTCCAGGGTATGTCAGGACATTCTCTCCAGACACTTTATTGAATCTCGCTTCTCTATCGTGAAGAATGAATGATGACAAGCAGAAGTGTCTTTGGGTTTGGGGATAGTCCAAGGAGAATCATTCCCAGCAGCAGGACCAAGCCTAATGGAATGGGCTGGACCTTAGACCCTCTGGACAGTGACTCCCATGCACCTCCCCGGCCCTCCTCCTGAAGTAGTGGCATCTCTGGCAGGTGTCCTATGCCCGTTTTACCATTTCCTCTTGGGTATCTGGGTGGAGGGAGACGATATTTCGTTTTAGTCCACAGATCCAGAGAGAGACTGTTCAGGGGCTGTGCCTGGGGGAGCACATTGTAGAGCCTCAGCTGCACCCAATTCAGAAGCTGCAACCCTGGGCCTTGAGCCTGGGCCAGAGGCTGACATAGGAGGAGGCTTTGGAGGTGGGATGTGGGAAGGGTGAATGTCTTACATGTCACCTGGCCTGGGCCAAATGATGCCCAGCTAGCCCTGGGCCAAAGCTACCACATGGGTATTTCTGTCAGTGTTTCCAGAAGAGATTAGTGTTTGAATCAGTAAACAAAGTAAAACAATCTGCGCGCACCAGGATGGGCGGGCATTATCCACTCCCTTGAGGGCCAGAATAGAACAGGAAGGCAGAGAAAGGGTGGCTTTCTGGCTCTCTGCTGTAGCTCTGTGTGACTCATGGAGGGAGGGTCTCATGGAGCTGGGAGATTCATATTTTCTGGTCCTGAGGGGTCAGAGCTCCTGATTCTCAAACCTTAGGACCTGGACTGAATTCTACCACCAGCTTTCCTGAGGCTTATGGGACTTCATGGAGCCGATTCCCAAAATAAATCTCCTCTCACGTGTTTCTCTATGTGTGTACCCTGTGGTTTCTCTCTCTCTGGAGGATGTGTGTATATGGATATTCCAGAACCGGCCGCCGTAATATCCCCATCCCCTCTGTTCTTCCAGAGCCTCACCAAGTCTTTGGCACGCGGCTGACTCTGGCATGGGCCCTTGCGACTGCCTCGTTATTAGAGTATGACAGAAGTGACAGGGCTCCCATGAATGTCCCTCTGCTTTCTCTCAGGATGTCTGCCACTGGAGCCCGCCACCATGCCACAGGCTAGCAAGGGGCCGCTGGGAGAGGCCACTCGGAGGTCTTCTGGCTGGCAGCCCTAGCTGAGGATCTTAAGGACCGCAGACATCAGCTGCCACGTGTGCAAACGTGTGAGCCTTCTGTTCATTCCACGCCGTGTGTGTTCTCGGCCACACCAGCAGAAGCGAGCTGTTCCCACTGACCCCTGCCAAAGGCGCGGGTCTGGGACCACTCTGAAGGAGTGGAGAGGTCGAGGGTAAGTCTGGAGATGGAGCCGTGCTCAGAGCTTGTCTGGGACGGGGCAGAGTGAACACGGTTTTCAATGCCTTGGGTCTGGCTGACCCAACCTAGGGGGAGAGGATGGCGGGGGGGGGGGGGCTGGGCTCCAGGGTTCCTTCACCTACAGGGCCGGTGGGGAAAGGTGGGCTGCGTGGTGCTGCAGAAGCTGGGGCAAGAGGATGAGCAGAAGGAGAGGCTGGACCATGGGGTGTGAATGTGTCTGCGCCACCTGATCCTGGAAGTCACCGTGACACACCAGGAACCCTGTCGTGATTGAACTAAGCTACCAACCACATTGGTGCAGAGCAGGGGCGAAGGCCAGGGAGAGGCGGGCCCTCAGGCAGCGAGGGGGTGGGGCTGTGCCCGGATGTTGAATGAAGGGTGCGGCAGTCTCCTGGGAGGGCGGTGCCCCTGCTCCTGTTGCGATACAGAAGCATCAGGACACAGATGCAGGCAGATGGAGACGTTTCACAGGGAGAGCAGCAATGTAAAGGACTCCAGCCCAACCCTTGTAGTCCGTGTCTAGAAGGTCAATCAACAAACTCACATAGGAAGTCCTGACCTTCCCTTCCTTAGAGCTCCCGCTGTCTTCTCTTCACTCCTTTCCTGCCGTGGGGGTCTGCGGGCTGGGCTCAGGGCTGTGTGAGCTCCGTGAGTTATTTATTCCTTTGTGTAGTTGGCAGTTCTAGGAAGCGCGAAGTCCCTAACAGAAGCTCACTCGCCATCTGCTGAAGGGGACTGGGTCAATTTCATCTCACAAGTGAAACGCCCGGGCCCACCCCACATTTAAAGGAATTGCATGCCAGAGCTGGCTGGCCGGGGATCAGAGCAGGAAGGGCTGCATTCTACTGGGTGTCGGTCGGCCAGGTGGGTGACAGCTCTTGAGAATGAATGCAAACCACAGGTTCCCTGGTGCCACGCTGTGAATACGGTTCGACCCCTGGAACTCACACAGGAGGAGGAGAAGTGTGATTTCCAGAGTCACGTGTCCATGGTATTTATTAAGGGGGCAGGAACCCCACTGTGCTAGTCAGAGGTGTGACCTTTCGGGAGCTGACCAGGATTAGATAAATTTGTCAGGGTGGGGCCTCCCTGGCACCTCAGGACTCTGCCAGTAGAAGGTAATCACCACATGCAGCCCCTCAACCTTGGATTCTCACAACTGTGAGTAAAGCAAACCTCTTCTCTTTATAAAGTTACCTGCTTCAGGCATCTCATTATAGTACTGAAAAATGGAGTGCTCCAACCAGGGGCCTGTGGGTAGTCTGTTTGCCATTACATTGTCTTTATTCGGTGACACTTCTGGTTGCTGCTGCCACCTCAATAGACTTCTCTAAGTTTCGGGGCTGGGAACACCTGATGCTTTCTCCTGCTAGCACAAGGAGATGGGGTGCCTCTCCCCCACCGCAGCTGTGACAGCCCTGCTCCAAGCGGGGGCAGGATGGGGTCCCAGTGGTGGTGCCTTTGCTGTGTCTCCAGTCCCGGGAGGTGGACACGGCTTGCCTCATGGCTACTGGAGCAGTGGGTACACACCGTGGCACAGCCAGGGCCTCTTTACTGTCAGAGGCCCCTCCAGTACAGGTCACTCATGCCCACGGAGCATGGATGTGCAGTACAGCTGCCAGACTTTCACGCCCACCCAGGGACAAGGCCTGGGACTGAACGATGTGTCACCCCTCGCGCGGGGACAAGCAGCTATGCAGCAGAACTGCATCTACCAGGGCCCAGGCAGGCTGGGGGACCCTGCAGCAGGGAGGGACACAGGCCCCTCCTATTGGCCCCTGAGGACTGGCTTTCGTTTTTTTGTTGTTTTTTTTTACCTCACAGACAGCTTAAAACTGTTATGGAAAAACATTTTATTACACATGTTCAACTTGCTTCCAATGAAATGATTAATTTTTCATGTATAATGGTATCCAATGTTTCTTTTTTTTTTCTTTCAAAACCAGCACCAAGAAGTAAAACAAAAACTACCATGGGTACAGTACATAATGTCAGTTAACTAATGGAAAATATATACATTTGACTCTGCAATGAAAAGAGAGAGAGCAACGATATTATTGGCATTGAGGATCTTTCCTGTCTTCTGCTGATATCAAGCCATGGTCAACCAAGAGGGTTTCATTCGCACCAATGAAAATAGCACCATAAGATCACAAGATGCTAGTTGTTGACACATCTGTGTGACCACAGAGGTACAGTACTGGAGTAACAGTGCAGGGTGGTGTTAACACAGAAACACCACAGAGTGGAGCGGGAACGTCATGATGGTGTCATGACTGATGCCGCTGACAGAAGTGAGCTGGTGGGGTTGAGTGACCATGCCAACATGTGCTAATGGAGCCGAGAGACGTGGAGAACCATGGGGTTTGATAACTGCATTGGGTTCACTCTGAGGGTGTGGGGCTCCTGCCACGGAAGTCCAGCCAGGGTGGCCAGGTGGGCAATTCGAGGCCCAGGGCATGTGCCCACCATGGGTACATGCCTGTTCTTGCCCTCCTTGAGTGGACCTCTGCAGACTGAACAAGGAAGGCCACCATGGCTGCCCTAGCTCTGCTTCTTGGCTCTAAAATGTCACTGTCTCCTAGTGAACAAACAGCACATTTTGGGCTAGAAGAAAACTGACCTCCCCAGGCTCCCCAGAATTTGAGGGTTTAGTGGGAGCAGGTTTAGGGAGTCTGTCTGGAGCAGCGTTTTGCACAGGCCCTGGGGTATCAGCTGGCGGGACACCCTGCAGGGGCTCTTCTGTCTTCATCTTGACGTTCTCTCTGCTTGTTCCACAGAGCACCCAAGGAGTGTTCTCAGCACTCATCCATTCAAGTGGATCCAAATAAATTCCCTGCCATCCCTCCCCCTTCTCCGCTATGGGATAGTAAAAATTAAAAAACAAAACAACCAAACAGCACCAATAAATCAAGAAGCACCTGGAGACCATCCCACAGAACTGACCCAAGGAAGAGCCCCTGTCTGAAAACAGGGAGGAGAAAGTGTGTCTCTCCAGGTAAGGTCTCAGAACAAAAGCACCCATGAAACGCCCACCAGGCTGGTGAGCAAAATAGGCCTCAGGGTTCCCACTCCCTCCTGGGCAGCCTGTGTCTCCTTGCCTCACCAAGGAAGTGGGTCACTAGTGACAGCCATGTAACAGGTAGCATGAGGCTGGGCTGGGGGAGGCACGGTGGGCGTGCAGCCATTCCAGCGGGTGGTGTCCCCCACTGGTCCTTCCCCTGCAGATCCCAGGCCTGAGCTGTGTCCTTAGAGGTCCTGAACATAATCTTAACTTCAGATAAAAGGCCAAGGTCCTCGGTAAACTACTGGGTTGTGATGCAGCGTCTGTGAGGGGCAAAGCTTTGTGGAGTGCTGGCTGGGGTGGGTGCCCCCCAAGACAGAGTGTGAGGGCTGCTTCCCCCCGACCGAGCTGTGCTGAGCTCACCTGTGTTAGGAAGCAGTCCTGTCACCACAATTAGCATATGTCTCCTTGCACAGCACCTTGAAGAGAGGCTCTTAATGCTTCCCTAGGCAGTGGGGAGCTCTGCACCGTAGAGCCTCCCCAGTCCTTCTGGAATGCTCTTCCCACAGGCTTGGTGTGGAGACCCGCGTGGTGGTGCTGGTCTTCCCGTGGTCTATGGACATGTAAATTCTCAGGGGTAAGATTTGCAAGGCAAGACCCAGGATTTCGAGAACATACGTATGTTCTTGCAGATGGGCAGAGAGGCAGAATGGTGTTGTCAGGAAGGCAGGTTAAAAGGAATGTCAGCTCTGGCAGTCCGGCCCTACCAAGGAAAGCATCAGCAGAGTCCTGCTGCCCTCTCTTCTTCCATCCCAGGAGCTGCTGGCTTTCAGAATAAAGCCTCTTCTGACTTACAGTGTCTTATTTTCAGGACATGCCCCCAGGGCAGGAGGACCAAACTCCTCCTCTGACAACTGTCTGCCAGAGAGGTTCCTCTTTGAGGTACATGAATCTCAGAAATTACAATTATTTTATGACTCATGCCTATTTTTTCCTTGCTGCAGAAAGCCATCCAGTGGCTGTTAACAATATATTAAGTACTAAGGGCGCTGTTAAGTCCACTCTCCAGTTCTAAGGAGCTGGATTCCTGGGGCATCCCTACAGGGTGTACTTGGGGAGCCTGGCCACAGGGGTGGTGTGCTTTAGTGGCTGGTGTGCTCTCTGCTCACTACATGCCCGCTGCAGACCTCCAGGCTGAGTGTGGAGCATCTACCGGGCCATGTGTCATGAGCTTGGTGACGAAGGTGGCTGGCGCATCTTGTTGGCATAGAAGTCCCTACAGGTCTGACAGCAGCGCTGGTACCACCGCATGTCCTGGCAGAGGTTCTTTGCTCGGATGACCCGGCAATACACTGTCCACTGGTCCCGCGTGCATTTGTAGGTCAGTGCAGCTAGGGGGACAGTGGAGAGACAGTACTCGGGTTAGGGAAAGCAGGAACATGTCCCTTATGCATGCACAGAGGTGGCCCCTGGCAGGGGCATCACTGATGGTTGTACCCCTGTGTCCAACCCAACTGAACCCTGTTTGTCCCCAGCTGCCTGAGTTCCTGACCTCTGAGAACAATCACAGCCCACTCCTGTGTACATCCTGCAGCCCCCAGCCCGAGCCCGGGAGCAATGCCTACTCTGCTAGGATGTGACACCCCTGCCCCACCTCAGGTCACAGTGCAGGAGATCCCACCTGGAACCCCCGAATTCAGGCTGGTTGTGTTCTCTACCAGGTTGTCACTATTTACCTGACATCTGGTGCCGGTCTACGGCCCCCTTCCAGGCTATAAGCACCAGTGGCCTCATCGCCTCCAGCCCAGTACAGCCCTCTTCCCAGCATCTCCTCTGCCTGGATCCCACTGCTCGCCATGGGAGGAGCTGCCTCTGCCCCTCCTAGGAAGCCCACCTCAGTAACTTGGCCTGCAGCCCTTCAAGCCAAGACGCCTCATCCTTTCCTGTAGCATGGCTAGGTCACACTGCAAGCTAGATCATGCCTCTCTGTGGCCAGAACTGGCTTTGTTCAATTTTCAGAGCCTCTCTGACCTTGAGTGCTTTCTCCAGAGCCAGACCAATGGGAAGAGGTCCCCTGTGATCGGGCCTTTGTTGCCCTCTGCTCTTGCCCCCGCCCCCACCCCCCTCCCGATTCATTCTGCTTTACCTGACACCGGATGCTAACTTGTGCCGCCCACATCACAGTCTTCCTCTCCAATCTCTCCCAACCAAAAGCTCACCTTGGTTCCTTTTTGTCAACACCCTCACATGACATTTACAAATTCACTCATCTCGCCGGCCTCTTGGACCTCACCTGGCATGATGGTATTCCTGTCATTCTCATCACCACTCTCCTCCCAGATTAGAGACAGTGAGTTTGGATGACGACCACACACATACACACACCGGAGGAGGTCCACACCCAAAATAACCAGAGACCCTGAGACAGTTCCTAGACAGGACCCTAGATGGAGCCGTGAGCCCAGTCACGGAGATTGGAAAACATGACAAAACACTATCCAGTACATTCTCACTGGCTCCAGACAGGGCCTCCGTTCAGTCTGTCCACTTTGACAAACTCTGAGAGCTCTATCCAGTCCAGCCCATCATGGCCTGCCTAACGAAAGCCCTCGAGGCCCATACTAGCCTAGGCTCTTCCTCACCTGAGGGCCAACTCCTTCTCAAGACTTACTTCATTTCTCAGTCTTCCCCACACAATTCAAGGGTGGTGCTCAAACCCCTATGGCTGATCTCATGACCACTGCGCCTCAGGGTCCATCAAAGCCAAGAACTTCAGAGGCCTGCCGAAAAGCCTCCAATGAATCTGCCCTCCAGCTTCTCACAAGCCCCCCC